CGTGGAGTGCGGCGGGGGGGAGGCGCCCGGCTGCGCGCCGGCCTGGGCTGTGCCATTCCGGGCGCGGCGCCCCCCCCCGCCCCGTGCCCGGGCGAGGGGAAGGGGAAGGGGCAGTCCGGGCGAGCCGGTGGGGGGGGGGGGCTCCCAGCATTTGGACCCTTCCTCGGCGCTGTTCCTGCCTCCTCCTCCTCCACGCCCCGCATGAAGTTCAATCTTGTTGCCGAACGGTGACGTGAAATAAAAGGATGGAGAACTTCGTGCATGTGAAATTACTCCCCTTCAACCGGTCTGGGGAGAATGCAGTTCCCATCAGCCCCACGCCCCATGTCCGCTGGTGGGGGGACAAGCTGTGGCTCGGCAGGAGTGGCACCAGCGGCCAAGCGGGGAAAGGAGACGAGGATGAGGATGAGGATGTTGCAATAACTGCTCACGATCCATGGCAGGTTTGGAATTGTTCTTCTCTGCCAGGGTTTGCCCGGGAGCGGTCAGTTCCTCCGAAAAAACCAGTCCCTGGATTGGATGGCTGGGTTTTGAGTAAGGTCTGCTCCTGGCCTCAGTTTCCCGAAGTGGGAAGCTGCTCTTCCATCCTTTTCCAACATACTGAGGCCCCCAACCTGGCAAATGAGGCAGAAATAGTAAAGACACCATTTTAAAACCTCTAAAAACTTACGGCACATCAGATTAAGGAAATAAAACAGAACAATGTCATTTCAGGAAAGACCTGGGCAAGCGCTGTGAAAGGTGCCAGAGCCAGGGCATTCCTTAAGTGCCACCGCTTACAAACCATGGAGAGGGGGAGGAACAGTATCATGGGGGAGAAAGATGTATGAATAGGGTTGCCAACTTTTTTTCTGACACAGCTCCTCTGCCTTTTTGAAAGTTGCATGTGAAGCTGGAATTCAGCAAGCAAACCGTTTTTGCCCACCCCGCCATGCAGAGACGAGCGCCAACATGGGAATTTTTACTGGGTTTTCAGCCAGAAAGGGAAGGCAATTGGCAGCTGACACTGATGCGATGCCAGGTACATCCTGTGGCTTTCATGGAGCTTGGGGAGCTCGGGGAGATCCAGATGTTCTCCAGCACTTTGCTTCCCAGCTTTTCATGATTTTTTAAAATTGTCCCTGGCAAAAAAAACCCCCTCCTGACCAAGGCAAAGGTTCTTGTGTATTTAACAGATGAGGTTGTTGCTCATAAATATTTGCTGATCATTGCCATCTCTACAGCAAGAAAATATTTTTCTGCTGAATTTCTGTGGGTCTTGGGGATGTACGGGTGTTCTAGCCCGAAAGAATTTGTCTTTGAAAATTCCTTGGCCCAGAGACAATGAGGACTAGCTGCATCACCAAATTAAAAACAAAAGAACACCCACTATTCTTTGCTTTGTTTAAAATCTGTGACACAAGCCACTCTAGTCCTTCCACGAAGCTTCAAGATTTAGCTCCGATGAGAGCGGGAGCTCACCTACTCCCAAGGTACTCCTCTCCCATTTAGCTTATTTAATTAGCCCTAATTAGCTTGCATCAAATTTTAAGAGCGATCCTCCCCTTGCAAACGTCTGCCAACAACACACTGGAATGGACAACCGCTGTCTCGGAGCGCCCCCTGGTGCTCGGCGCCTTCACAGAAAACCTGCAGGGGGAACACTCGTCGGCACTACAATTCCCACGACTCCTTGCGCGACAGGAAGCCGTGGCAAGACTCCCAGCCGCTGCCGTCTCTTTCAGGCGCCCGCGGCATTTTGCTCTCGTGCCTCTGCCCCTTTCTCTTAGCACTAAAGTTGTACAGGATCCGATCCTCCGAAGGCGCCTCATTCCGCGACACACGGGTTTTCAGCCACCGGGGGACCCTGGCTAGCTGCCCCCTCCCTCTGGTCGCCCATCAGTTGCTAGTCCTGGACGGGGACTTACGTCTAGACCTCACGCCCCATCCTTTGCACCCCGAGTATCTGCAAATCAGGCTGGGGACCCCGGACCTGCTTCCGTGCCAGGCAGTGGAGCCAGATAACCAGGGCTGCCAAGGCATCCATTTATTTATCATTTACCCCATTTTTAGACTGCCCCTTACTGTAGTCTTGGGATGGTTTGACAATAAGACAAAATAGAATAAAATGCAGCATCCTAGTCAAATTCTTCACCAATCAACAATAAAACCGATATTAAAACAGTCAAACCTTAAAACAAAAAGGTTTTAGCCTGGTGCCGAAAAGAATAAAGTGACGGCACCAGGTGAACCACTCTGGGGAGCGTGTTCCACAATTGGGGTGCCACTGCAGAGAAGGCCCTTCCCCGGGTAGCCACCCCCCTGATCTCCCTCAAGGAGGGCTCCCGGAGAAGGCCTCTGCCCCACATCTTAAGGGGTGGGCAGGCACGTGCGGAAGGAGACGCTCCTTCAGGAAACCAGGTCCTGAGCTGGTTTATTTAAAGGTTTATTTGGGGGCCTGTGCACCCTGTGCCGTGAGCAGGGTCTTGAGCCACAAAATTAGGCCTGGGTTTGCATCGTTTCTGTGGCATGCGCTTGGGTGCCTTAGGTGGCGGCTTGATGTATGGCTGCCAGCCTGAGCTTGCGCTTCGGAGAGGCCCGACCGGATGGCCTTCTGGCCCCTTCCGATCCACAGCCCTCGGAGTCTCTCCAAGCCCCGCCAATCTTCGCCTCCAGCACTTGGCACACTCCTCTGAGTAAACCTGAAGCATTGCCCAGCTCTGAGCACGTGGGGTGCCCATTTCGGGCGAGAGGAATGTCCGTGCCTCTTCTCCCCCGGGGACGTGGCAGGGCTGGGATCGGCGGCTGCAGAGACGCCAGCACAGGACTGCGGCTTGGCGAAGTGCGCTTCTTTGCTCGGGCAGCGGGAGGAGCAGCCTGGAGCTGGACCAGAGGGTGCCGGAAGAGAAAACCAGCCTGCCTTCTGACAGTTTCCACTGATAGGACGAGTGCTAAAGAATCAGAGCAAAGGTTGTGCGTCAAGCCCAGCGCCGTGTTTCCAGCAGAGGACAGCCGGGTATCTTTGAGAAGCTCATCAATGGGATATGATGGCGAGTGCCTCGCCCTTGGTAGTCAAGTGCAGGCTGCTGCTTGTTATGTTCCACATAGGGATGCTGATTAGTGATGCTACTTGCTATAAAAGACACCTCCATGGATACATCTGAGGATCCTGTTTATGCATAATGTTCTAAGAGCCCTGCTGGATTGGGCCCAGAGTCTGGGAAGCCGGGTATCCTCTATTAAACAGCGTTCTGAGAGATGCTCCTAGGAATCTTGGAAGCAGAATACAAGCAAACACCTTGGGCAGCTAACCCATTCCAGAAAATCCAAAGTTCTGTCGATCCAATCGCCGGATTCTTCTTTTCTTTTCCATCTCTTTTCTTTGAAATATGCAAAATATGGGCGAGAGTTTGGCTCAACCAATCTTAGCAGCAAGGCTCACAACGGGACACACGGAACTGCATTTTCGCTGTTGGAAAGGGACCGGGGAGCAGGGAAAGAGCCGCATCCCCGGGGCTCCTGCCAGGGGGAAGGGCCAGCAATGCTGCGAGGTTTTGTGGTTTTGTCGAGCATCAATACACTTGGTGGTGGGGGGGGGGAGCACAATCGCCAGGCAGGTTTTGGCCTGCTTGGGTTGCCCTCCCGAGGGCATCGGATTACCTGCCATCCAGCCAAGAAGGAAGCTCTGTTGCCCCGTGATTATCTTGGGGCAAGCTGAGTTGCCATTCCAGCTTGATGGCGTGTCCTTCGCACGTGGGTAGCCCTATTTCCTTCATTTTCTGGGCCAGCATGGGACATCCTCCACGGAGGAGGTGGGATCCATCTTGGTGCCTCAGCTCTGCCATGAATTTGCTGGGGTGTTTCTAGGCCCTGAGCTCCTCTCTTCAGCATGACAAAGATGACTTGAGAAAAGGCACCCAGCGCTGATCTTCACGGCCCTATTTGGCCTTGGGAACACCTGGAGGATTGCCTTCTTCCAGGTACTCCTGCATGAACCATAGGATACAAGTAAGTATCCTGGCTGAATATAGTCAGAAGGGTGGCTCCCAGGGAAAGGTTTGGTGGTGGCACCTTAATTAAAGAATGCCTCCCGCAGGTGACTCACCTGGGCACTTACTTTTTGATCTTTTCAGTGTGGGATGAAGATTTTTCTCATTCTCCCAGACCTTCAAGCACTTAAAAAATGGAACTTGTGCATCTTTGCACCACTGTGGGCTTTTACACTGCTTTTCTTCTGGTTTAAAGCTTTAACACTTGTAGTATTACAGACTTTTCTATGTGGGATTTATTGTACAGTTGCCAGGCTGTTTATGGGTTCTTTACACAAAGACATGCCCCTCTGGCTTTGCTTTTCTGTCCAAGCAGCACTTTCTATATATTTTTTCTAGAGCAGGGAAAATGCTGTTTCATGCTGGGGCTATTCCGCTTCATCGTGGTGCCCCCTGGAGGGTCCCTGGCCAAAAATCAGGAAAGGAAATCGGCCTGAATTTGGAAGCTGACCCGCTGCAGCCACAGCCTCACGTGGAAAAGCGGCAGGTGCCTTTCGCTGCATGTTTCCAGGTTCTGCTTTACGAAGGGCCACGAGAGCTTTGCCTGTCCGGAGATACAGAAATAGAACACGCCGGAATCAAACAAAGCGAGTGCTAGGAAAGGGGATCGGATGAAACCACGTGGCCACATTCTTTGTCTCGGGATAATTCTGTCACCTGCAACATGCAGGCCGATCCGCTCACCTCCCAGATTTGTGCTTAGGGTTGGAATTTTGACACTTGGCTGGGTGCAGAAGCATTCTTGGCTCGCGTGCTACACGCCGGACTGGTTTTTCCTTTGCTCTTATCGCTGGCAGGCTGCTTGCAGCCCTCCCTGGGGGTGGGGGTGACTGCCAACTCCATCGTCCACATGGTGACACTGCGCTCACTGCCGTCTAAGGAAGAGACCGAGGTGCGGACAGGCAGGTACGTCTTTTGGCTGAGCTTGGAGGGTGAGGGTTGGCAGTTCCCAGTCCCCCCCCCCCCCAGTTCCATTCTTGAGCCTCTGCGAGCTGGCTGGTGTGTCTGGATGGAGCTGGCCGACATCCCCACATCAGCTAAGCCTTTCCTTGCTTAGCCATTGCTGCTTTTCAAAGCCACAGGAGCTGGGACAGTGAAAAGAGGAGAGAGAAAAGTCAGCAGCCTCGCATGACTTGGATTCTGGGGCCGCACTGGGTGTGTTGATCCCATCTTGGGTTGCCTGGAGCCAGAAACTGGGAAAAGGGAAGGGTGAGAAAGGGCAGGGGAAGAGAGAGTCACCTTTTAAAATCTGGAACAGGTACTTCCTCTCCCCCACTCCTCTACCTCCTGAGGGCTCCTGTGAAGCCTTTAATGCCTTGAGAAATTCAACAGGGACAGCTCATCTGCTGTCTGCTGTGGGGCGGAGGAGGAAAACGTGCACCTGTTTGCATTCTGTCTGTCCTTCAGCTGCAAAGGTCCCAGAGGACAGAAGTGTTGGCCGCAGACTTCTGGCTTCGAATCGCTCCCCTCAAACCAGCCTGCGGCCTGGAGCGTTTCCCTGCTTCCCAAGTGACCCTCCCTGCTGCCCAGGCAGACGGCAGCCCCCTTGGAGGGCTTTGCAATCTTTGCCCAAGTCATATTGTCCGTTCCTGCTGCTGCCGCTGTTTGACTTTCCGCCCGATAATGGTGCTCAGGGCAGCTCAGAACAGCAAGACCGAGATTAGAGCAAAATGCAATCAAAACAAACATAAACGCAATTCGATGTAAACCTGCCGATGCCGCGAACAGAGATGCGAAGAACACGAGGGCGACAGCGTCCACAGCAGGTTCTGGGCACTGCTCTTAAAAAATGGCATTGCAGAGTTGGGAAAAATCAGGAAAGGGCAATGGAAAGGACCTGGGGGCTGGAGCAGCTGCCCCGTGAGGAAGGGTTTCCCCTCTTGGTTAAGCTTAAAACGTTGGGCAAAATCCCGGAGGAATCCTGATGGCCAAATGCGAGCTGCAGGATCGGAGGTGGCATGCCTGGGCACACCAGTTGCTGGGGAACATGGGTGCGAGGGAGCTGCCACACTCCCCTTGCTGGTGGGTTTCCCGAGAGGAGCAGCCATCGTGTGAACCTCGGACGCTGGACTCGGGGGACCTCCTTGCAACCCGCTGCGGCTTGTTTCCTGTCCTTTGTGCATGGCTTTCGTTGTGCGAGTCCCATTAAGACCCGTGGGGCTTACAGAATCATAGAAGAGTAGAGTTGGAAGGGGCCAGGAAGGCCATCAAGTCCACCCCCCTGCTGTTGCAGGACTCCAGTTCACACCATCCCTCTCAGGCGGCTGCCCAGTTTCGTCTTGAATGTCCCCAGTGTGGGAGAGCTCCCCACCTCTCTGGGCAGCTGGTTCCACTGGCGTATTGCTCTGAAACCGGTTTGCTTGTGGATTACTCAGGCCAGGTAGATGAGCAGCACAAAGGATGCCTTGAATTTTATGACTGAAGGTGAGCACGCAGTTCCTGTCTCTTAAAGTAGCAGCCATACTCAGCAGTAACCTGGCTTGGAATTCTGCCTTCTGAGAAAGGGGTGCAGGTTGGAATTCTTAGCACCTGTTAGCAACCTTTTCCTGCTGGCCGTGTTTCTGAATTTTCCCCACTTAGGCTGCTGAGGTTGGCAGGATGCCTTCAGTGAACGGGCCCGAGAAGGAATGCGTGGCCACCCAGATCCTCCGGCAGTTGCCCCTGGCAGACAAGGTGGGTGGCCTGGGCAGGGTGTCAGAGAGGCCCCCCTCCTCAAGGGGGGCTCTGTTCCCCCCACCTGGTGTGGTCCACTCAGATCCAAGTCCTGATTGTGCTCTCCTACTGTGCCCTAGACGTCGGTATGGGGCACTCTGGGAACTATTAGACCCCACCTGAGTTTCGATGTGGAGAAAGATGTCCAAACTCTCCTTGGGACTGTCAGTGGCCGAGGTAACAGTCCTTCTCGATCGTCTCTCCAGTTGCATGTTGGAGAATTTCCTGCTCTCCCTGCTTTTTTCAAATCCACACAACAGCCCTGTGAGGTAGGCTAACCTGAGAGGAGGTGTGGGGCCTAAAATCACCTGACAGAGATTTGCATCTGGCTCCCAGCACCTTGTGCGGCTTAATGCTGGTTCTTGGAAACCTGGTTTGGTTGGACCAGATTGGGTCAGGGTTTTAACCTGTTTGTTATATACCCCACTGGGAATTCCGGTCCAAGACGTGGGGCAGATTGAACAATTATATGTGGCAAAGAACCATTGTTATCAGTGTACAATTGGGTCACCCGTGAAACGCGGCTGCTTCCGATGCAGAACTGCAAAACAAATTTCAAAGCAGAGCCCACTGGGACCCTGGCTTCTGGCTGCCTCTCAGGCGGGGCATCTTTGTTCATCGTGACAGGAGTTGACTACAGAACCATCATTGACCTGCTGACAAACCGGAGCAACGAACAGTGCCAGCAAATTGCCAAAGAATTCCTAGATTTCACCAAACAGGTGAGGCTGGCAGCAGCATGTTTTAAATCAGACGCAGTCTTGCGGCCTGGAGTAAGGCTTGCTTTTCGTTAGTTTCCGTCCCTTCACCCCCTTCCTGGACAATTGTGTGCTCCGGCTGCAGTATTCAAGGAGGGGTGGCAGCCAGTCTAGACTACTGCAATGGGGCAGGTGTGGGGCTGCCCTTGTAGACAGTGCAGACATTCTGGCTGGTTTAGCACACGTGCTATAAATGGAAGGAAGGAGGGGACCTATTTCGCTTCTTTTATATTTTATATTTTTATTTATTTTATATTGTTAATTTTAATGTTATATTGTTATTTTTGTATTTTATTGTATTTTATTGTGTTTGTAAGCCGCCTCGAGGCTTCGGCAAGGGGCGGCATAGAAATGTTCTAATAATAATAATAATAATAATTATTATTATTATTATTATTATTATTATTATTTAAGCAGTCTTTCTCAACCTGGTGCCCTCCAGATACGCTGGACTACAGCCACATTGCCCCTCCATTCTGGTTGAGGAGAACAGAAGCTGCATAGAAACATAGAAAGAGAGCGAGTCAGAAAGGGTCTCCTGGGCCATCTAGTCTGACCCCTGGCTCCAGCTGGCTCCATTCATGACAGGCCAACCATGTGCATGTCCAGCCTATCCTTGAAGACTCTCACTGATGGGGCCACAACCACCTCCTGTGGAAGCCCATTCCTTACCTGTGGGGTCCTGACTGTCAGGAAGTGCTTCCTGGCATCCAAATGGAACCTGGGTTCCCTGAGCTTTGCTCCGTTGGGGCGCGTCCTGCCTTCCTCTGCAGGGGAGAACAGGTCTCTGCCCACCTCTGTGTGACGCCCCCTCACATACCTGTATGTCGCCAACAGATCCCCTCTGAGTCTCCTCTTCTCCAGGCTGAAGAGACCCAGTTCCCTCAGTCTCGCCTCATCCCCTGCAAACCGGCCACCAGCCTTGTGGCCCTACGCTGCACTGACTCCAACCTGGCTATATCCTTCCTGTAATGAGGGGCCCAGAACCGAGCACAAGACTCCAGTTGCGGGCGCACCAGAGTCGTGTAGAGTGGCAGCGACACCTCTCTCGATCTGGAAGCCACGCTTCTGGCTCGCATCCACGCTGCAGCCTGAGCCGTCTGGCAGGATGCTCTCGTTCTAAAGTCGTTCTGCTTCCTGTCCCAGGACTTGCTGACGACGCTGCAAGCAGCCGTCCCTGCGAACCTGGAGGGCTTTGTCGCTGGACTGCTGAGGCCGGCAGCTCAGTACGATGCCCATGAGATCAAGGCAGCCCTGAAGGTACAGCGACTGGCCCGAAGAAGCCGACCTCCTCTCGCTACAAGTCATCACCCAGCCCTGCGTCTGGATTGGGGTGCGGGCGTTTGGTCAGCCCGGGCCCGCCATTTTCCGGGGTGCCCTACAGTGGTTGCTAGGCAACCACACGCTCCTTCATCCTCTCCTTCATCCCGTGGGCACCAGAAGAGGGTGTGGAGTTGGACACGGCTTGGAAGTCGCCCGTGCTGTGCCTCAAACAGACGCTTTGCTCTGCCCCGTCCGCCGATAACGCCGCTTCTAGATTTTGTTATTTTATTTTTGACCTGCCAAATCACACATATTCTCTGGGTAGGTTACAGAAGGGTCCCAGAATAAAATACACAAAATACAATATGGTACAATTGATAAAGCACTCAGGGACATATAGCTGTGCTGTGTCCATCCGTCCGTCTATCTAGACATTAAAATGCCTGGTAAGCAGATTATTTTATCATTTCCAGGGCCCAGAGGTAGAAACACTTACTGAAATCCTCTGCACACGAACAAACCAGCAACTCCGAGAAATCTTGCGTTTTTATAAGAACGGTAATCCTTTTAAATGCGGTAACGAGGGTGGAGGGAAATGAAATTAAAAGCAAGTTTTTTTAAATTTATTTTTATTTATTTACAGTTTTTATATGCCATCCAATCCCAAAGTCTCTGGATGGCTGACAAAGAACAAAAAACAACCGTATGCAAAAAGCAACACACAACACATGGCATCCGAGAAATAATGATAAAATCAAGGATAAAACCAGTTAACTACCAATTCAAATATGGGGGAAATAAAAAGGTCTTTGCCGGTTTTGTTTATCTGTGGCTCCTCGCTTCTGTTTGTGTGCCTAGATTTTAAATCGGACTTTGAGAAAGATGTTGCTTCTGGGACCAGCGGCTGGTTGAAGGACCTCCTGGTGGCCTTGAGCCAGGTAAAGACGGGCTGCCGGGGTCTCTCTGCGCATCCTCACGCACACCCAGCCCGTCTGTGCTCGGGGTCAAGGCCCAGTGCTACCGATATTTGGTCAATGCAGTGTATAGGCTCGGACACCAGAACGGCCAGTCTGTGCCCAAGGGGAGGCTAATTTCTGATTTTCTGCTGTCTGCCCTCCCCAGGGAAAACGGGAAAGATACTCCGGAGTCATCGACTACATCTTGATAGACCAAGATACAAAGGTGAGGTACGGCCTGTGTGGGGAGGTGGGCCGAGCTTCAGTGTTTGCTCGCCCTGTGGAAGGGAGACCTTCCCCGGCAGAAAAGCGCTTCCCGTGCAGCGTGAAATACCGGAGATGTGATAAACTGAGAGCAAAGAAACTTTGGGGCAGCTCTGAAGAAAGAAGGCGGACACAGAACAGTCTGAGAACGAAGCGTGTATGTTAAGGAAGGTTTGCTCGATTTTACATTTGTTATCAAACAGCTCTGGTGAAATAGCCCTTTGGAACTCCCTTCCGAAAGCTCGGCCTGGCGCTTCAGCCTTGGCCCCCGGTGCTCTTTGCCTCTTCAGCCTGGACTTTGCAGGGCTGGCGTGTGGAGCAGGGCAGCTGTGCTCTTAACTGCACAGCCATTTCTCTAAACAGCTCACAAAAGGAGTCTGTTGTGTGTTGCGTGTCCTTTCAGGCGCTTGTGGATGCAGATGGTGGTGGCCATGCAGGCAAGCTGCAAGAGAGTGAATGGGTCAGGATCCTAACCCAGCGCAGCCCCGAACATCTAAACCGAGGCAAGACTGCATCTGCAATGCCTAGAATTGCCTTATCTATCTGCTGCGAGAGAGGAGAGGTTGTGTTTAGCCATGTTGGCATCCTATGCAACAGATTCAAATGGACTCGGAATGAATTTCCTAGAAATCTGGAGTCACGAACCCCTGATGTGGCTCTTCTGCTTAACCAGTTAGCGTGCGATGTGGGAACAATTTTCTTTTTGGGAACTTGGGAGCTGCTGAACAGTAATTTGGTACTTTTTGAAGCTCACCCCATGTGGCAAACAGACATTTCCTTACTAGCTGAGGAGATTCACAAAGTGTTCCTTGTGTCAAGACTGAGGCTGTGGAGTGACAAAACTAAAAGAATACCGTGTCTGTTAGAAACAAGGTCAGTGCAACTGGCCGGTTAGTTTGGGAAGCCTTCTTGAAATAGTGTCTTCGGGGCACGTGGAAAACAAGGCAAAGGACCGTCCGGCTCATGGACCATCCGGCTGGCTCCGCAGGCACCCCTGCCCTTCCAGGAGGCGCCCTGCTTTGCATTTATGTTGCATTTATAACCCACTTCCTCCCTGCCTGGGAAGAAGCTTCTCCTCCTCCACATTTTATCTTCACAACAGCCCTGCGAGGTAGGGTAGGCTGAGAGACAGCGACCGGCCTGAAGACAGCCGGGGAGCTTCTAGGCTGAGCAGGATTCAGAGCTGGTGTTTCCCGAGTCCAGACTCAGCACTGCCCCCCACCATGGGGTGCTCCCCCCCACCCCCGGCACGGCCTGGGCTTGCTTTTCCCCTGGGTGGGAGTCTGGCTGGGTCAGCAGCTCGTGGCTCCGAAGGGGGAAGCGAAGAGCCAGCCGTCCTGCCCCGGGATCAGAGGGCTGTTCCGCAACTTCACTTTGTTCCCCCTCAGTGTTCAGCTGCTATCAGAAGAGGAGGGGGCTCCCGGTGGAGGAGGCCGTGCAGAGAATCTTCCGAGGTCAGGCCCAAGCAGCCGGCTTGACGCTGGGTAAGTCTGAACCAGAGCAGCTCCCACCAGCTGAGGCCCTCTGGAAGTGCTGGACTACAAAGCCCATCCAGGGTGTGTGGGTGGGGAAAGGTAGCAGAGAGCAAGACTTGCTTGCACAGGGCGGGAGGTTCTGGGAAGGGCAAGAGATTGTGGGAAGCTTCCTCTTCATCCCAAAATGGACAGCCACAGAAATACTCCACACAAGCTCAGGGGCACCCTTGTCCCTGCTCGGGGCTCATTCCACATCTGGTCCCAGTGTAAAGGAGTGGACAGGTGTGCCCATGGGAGATGGTTGAGCTTGGAGTGGCTTTGTCCTGGGTTCAAACGTTTGTCTAGCTTACTGGATGGAGAAGAGGGTTGTTACGACCCACCTGGGTGCCAGGAAGAAGGATCTGTTTGTGTCATGTGAACGCAGGTTTGCCATCTGTCCTCTTGAGCTGCTGAGTGTTATTTGGGAGCAGAACTGTAAACGGCCTCTCCTCTCTCTTGCGCAGGCTGGACATACACACGGTGGCATGTCGTGAGCAGAGCCGGCTGGAGCCGGGGGTCAGACTAGATGGCCCGGGAGACCCCTTCTGACTCGCGCTGTTTCTGTGTTTCTATGTTTTTTTACTGGCCTTATAGTTCTGCTCAAAAGCATGGGAGTACTGCCTTCTGAAATCTCAAAAGCTGCAGATACGGTTGAATGAGGTGTTCAGAAGTCGAGATTGCATCCTCGGCCTCTCTTGAAGCTTGCCAAATCAGAATTCAGAAAATATGTGAAAGGGTGTACATGTGAAATATGTACAAGTATGCAAACCAGCTGAGGTGCGATTGCTCCATTTTCCTGGTGCTGCTTTTTCTGAGAAGGAATTTGGAACCTGCCCTTATCTGGAATGCTTATTTTAAAGACGGGAATAGATGCAACACCAGACACTGTTATGTAACGTTCAGAAAAGGTAGCCAGGAAATGTTTATGGACTCCTATCTTTTCCGGACATTTTGCAAGCTGGTGGCAAAGATCCAAGCCGGCTCTGACTGCCTTCTCTTCCATCCAGAGAAGAGCTGCTGTGCGTTTTAACAGGCAGAAATTCAACAGGCACAAGGTGCCCCCACCACTGCCTGTCCACGCCAGGGAGGTGGCTATGTTGCATTTCTGCCCACCCCCCCCCCACAGGATTGCCCTGGGAGGAAAATAAAAATGTTAAAAAAGGCGATAAAGTGTGATTAAAACTGTTGGGTAACCAATGATTCTTTCTTGCAGTCTCTCTCCTCCGAAACACTCCGCTTTATCTTGCCAGGAAGCTGTACCAAGCGGTTAAGGTAAGGATTTTCCACCCAGTCATATAATCCTAACTGAATCAGCCGTCTCAGTTACTTCCATGTTTTGGATTTTAGAAAATTCCATTAGTCATCCATCAGCACAGCCTTGCAAACACGCCCCCTAAAGATATCGGCCTACTTCTCCATCAGAAAGGCAAAGATTTTAACTTTGCTCAAAGCGCTTCAAAAAAGAGGGCGTGTTGTTTTGCCACGCTTCATAGAATCACCGGAAACTCGCACGGTGGGCTGAGTCTGAACCTTTCCTAAATCCGGGGATTTTAACAGTTGGCGCTTTCTGATCTCTTCTGCCCCCTTCCTTGCCTGAAGGGCCCAAGAGGCAACGCGAGGACCTTGGCTCGGATCATGATCTCCCGCCGCGAAACCGACCTCTTGAGCGTCCGAGTGGAGTTCAGAAAGCATTATGGTGTCTCCCTCTATTCATTCCTCATGGTAAGGCCCCGTGGTTCTCTGGAAGGGCTGGGGAAGGGGCGCTGCATGGGCCACGGAGCTATTCCACTGGGGGCCAGTTAGAACTAAATGGCCATGTTCCTGACTTAGTCCGTCAGGCCTGGGACATAGAAACAGAGCGAGTCCGAAGGGGCCTCCCGAGCCATCTAGTCTGACCCCCGGCTCCAGCCGGCTCTGCTCACGACATGCCCACCATGTGCACGTCCAGCCTGCCCTTGAACGCCCTCCCCGATGGGAACATCCAGAGGCCTCCAAGAACCCTCCAACCCTGTTCTCTGACTTGCTGCATCCCGTATTTATTTATTTTATGAAAAACTTTTATATGCCATCCAGTACTGAGATCTCAGATGGTCTTACAATGAAACAGAGTGCAGCACAGCATCCAGGTTGATTTTCTGTACAGTAAAAGGAATTCAAAGGTAGGCTGCCCCCAAAGATGGAGGTTTAACGGCTGCAGGTAGACCCAAGGATAGCAGGCAGTGGGGGGAGCTTTTATCCCCCTGTGAAAACTTGGAATGCCCACGGATGACAGAGAGAAGCTGAACTTCGGATCTTTACAGCAAACGGGTCTCCCCACCTGTTCTGGACTTCACTTCCCATCACTCCTGGCCACGGGTTATGCCAGGCTGGGCTGGCAGGAGTCCAGAGCACCTTGAGGACATGGAGCTGGACGGCCCTTGCAGAATCTTTTTGTGTCTCGCATCCAGGCGGAGACGGACGGCAACGGCCAGGCAGCCGTGCTCGGCCTTTGCAGGGCGGAGGACCTGTAGGTCGCCCTCGGATCCTCCGCGCCAGCGGGCCGGTCCACCCCTGCATTCCAGCCGGGCCGCTCCTCCTCCCTGGATGCCCCACAGCAGCCGAGAGCGACGACTCGACTCGCACGTTGGGACGAGGAAGTTGCCGGAGAGTCCGGCTTGGCCGGTCGGGCGCGTTCCACCCCGCCAGGGCCAGGTTGCTTTGACATGCGACTGAGGTGATGCAGCAGCTGCAGGTTTTGTGGCTTCCCGGCTCAGCCAGCGCGAGCCGGGGGGGGGGGGTGGCAGGCGGAGCAGGCACGCCACGGAGAATCTCTTCCTTTCGGGGAGAACAAACTGGTGCTGATAAATCAGCCATTTCTCCCTGCTGTGGGGGGGCAGGTGTGGACACTCTCCAGCCCTACCTGCAGTGTCCCAGGGACACCTGGCTGGCCCCTGTGGGAAGCAGACCAGGTAAGCCAGCCTTCCCCACGCGGGTCCCCTCTAGAGGCTTCAAATGGCAACGCCCAGCATTCCTGACCTTTGGCCATGCTGGCTGGGGCTGCTGGGAGTTGACATTCCAAAACCAAAACCAAATCAACACCTTAGAAGAGGCCTTCCCCTCCACTTCTTCCGCTCACAGGAGGAGAACGCCTCTTCCAAGGCTGTCTGAAGCATTCCCTCTTCTCCCTCATACCTTGTGGAATGCCTCTTCCAACAGCGACTTGGAAGAGGCTTTCCCTCCATTTCTTTCACACACAAGGACAACGGCTGTGATTGCTGAAGTGGCGCTCCCCCATTCTTTCACACACAGGAAGGACACGCTCATATTTTTGCTCCCTCTTTCTGCCTCCGCCTCTACCCGCCGCCATGATCGGCTACTCCAGAATTCGGGTTCAGGTTCAGAACACTGTGATACCATTTGAGAAGAGATTTGCGTGAGGGGGGGTCCTTCCAAGCTGAAGCACCCGCCAGTGCTCGTTCCCCGGGCAGAGAAAATAACACCACCGTTTTTCTCTTTGTGAAGAACTGTTTAATCAAATGTAAACGTTTGCATATGCCATTGATTAACCAACTCAAATCACATATGATTAATCAATTTAAGGTTTTATTAATCGGTTGACAGCCCTAAACAGGAGTGCTGTCAACTTGCCTTGGCAGTCCGCAGTGTATGAATGCAAGGAACTTGTTTCTGAAACGTTTAAAGCTTACGTATTATCTTCTACACTTCTGCTAAACCTTGTACCCCTCGCTCCGCTCCTGGCCACGTTCCAAATAAATTTGTCCGCTTCAGGCACCCCAGTGGTCCTGCTCCTCCTCCTCTGGGCCCACATGGGTTCTCCCACCCCTTGCCCCATTTCTGTTCGCTTTATTTCGACGTTCATCACCGCCAACAGCAAAAACCTCCCACCGCTCCGCTACTCGTCTGCACCGTTTCTGGGGGAACTCATTTTCTGTGCTGTCTCTTGGGCTGCAGCCCAAAGCGATCCCCAGCATGTGGTTGATTCAGGTCGGATTGGGGTTGGGAAAGGATCACTGTGCCAAGGGAAATCCCGCGTCACGTTTGAACAGCGCAGCAAAGGGACTCCCTGTGGCCTGGATTTCACTTTTAACGTTCTTTGCCTTGTCCACCTCCCTCTCCCGGCAGCACCTACAGTGTCTATTCCTCTGCGGGGCCCAGAGAGACCCAAGAGTCTCTGGATCGCATCCCCTGGGCCAATGCAGGCGCCTGCCTTCCTGCCTGCCTGCCTGCCTATCCGCCCAATCTGTCTGTCTGGACAACTGGCCGGCCTCACTCCAGGGGCCTTCCCATTCCCCGTCCTTCCGCACCGCAGCGCCCGGAGATCGGACCGGTGAAGCGGGAGCCCTGCCGCCTGGCCTCGGGACCTTCCGAGAGCGTTCCCAGCCCGCTGCAGGCAGCTCTGGAGATGTCCCTGTACCGCCCCCAAGAGAGGAAGGGAGGCTCAGGAAGGCCTCCGGACTGTTGCTCCGGCATCTGGTGCTGGGCAGCTCACCCCGGCTGCAAAATCTCCCTCTGGATGGCAGGCAGCGGTGCCTCCCGTCCGGGACGCCTCCACGGTGCCCGTGGGCGCACTTTGCACTGTGTTTCTGGGGAGCACCGGTGTCGAGCCCCGTTTCTGGGGCCCGAGGGCAGCTCCCCTGGTGCCCACAGCCTGGCCCCGGCCCCCTTTGGACCCATCATTCCCTGGCCCCGGAGGGGGATCTGCCCCCACCCCATCCATGCCCCAAGAGGGCAAATCTCTCCTCCACCTCGCCAGGCTGGAGGTCATCCCGTGCGGAGGAGGGTGTTGGGGGAAGGACGGAAGCCAAGACACCGGAGGAGGCGAGGCTTGCTGTTACCCAAAGGTTAGCTTATTTTTGTCTGTTCCAACATTTTGGTTTCGGCCCCCGGCGGCGGGGGAGGACGCCTGAGTGAGCAGCCCCTCCAGGTCTGTGTGCGGGAGGCCAGGCCAGGCCGGGGCGGGTGGGCGGCCACGGGGTCGGCCTCACAGGATGGCGCAGTCCGAATCCTGCTTGGCCCTCTGCCTGCGCTCTCCAGCCGGGCGGGACGGCGTCGGGCTTCTTCCCTGCGGGGGAAGCAGAGGAAAAGGGGAGATGCGACGGGGGAGAGCGGAGAGATGAACGCAGCTGGCTGGAATGGACTTTTCCTCGCGGCCTGGGCAAGACGCACGATGGAGAAAAACATGGGGCCATTCTACAATTTAAGGTGCTGGGGATGACTGATACAGCCCTAAGTGGCTTAGGGCCTGGTTATCTGAAGGAGCGCTCCTTCCATATGTGCCTGCCCACTCCTTAAGATCTGGGGCAGACGCCCTTCTCCAGGTGCCCTCCCCAAAGGAGATTAGGAGGGTGACTACCCGGAGAAGGGCCTTCTCTGCGGTGGCACCCGGATTGTGGAATTCGCTCCCCAGAGAGGTCTGCCTGGTGCTGTCACCGTATTCTTTTCAGTGCTGGGCCAACCCCTTTTTATTTTCCCAATGTTTTAAGACCTGACTGTTTTAATTGGGCTTTTATTATTAGTCAAATTTTAGGACGCTGTGTTTAATTTTTTTTTTTTTACATTTTGTATTGTTAAACCATCCCAAGACTTCAGTAATGGGACAGTCTACAAAAGTGTTAACTGAATGAATAAACAAACAAACAAGACTTCTGCAGGTGGGTAGAGGCGAATCTGGAAGCGCAGGCACTTCCCAAAATAGTCCCCATGGGCGACCCCGATGGTTCCTCCGCATCGGGAGCGGGTCTTTTCAGAAAGCCCCGGAGGCGCCCGCACTGCCAAAGCGTCACAAAAGGGACAATGCTCTGGGGCCGGAAACCGAGCTCCTCCCCTGCTGGGGGAAGACAGCGCCTGTGCTCAGAGAGCAGGAAGCCTCGTGTGTGCTGGGACCGCCCCCGGAAACCCCTGCACCGCGGGGCCCTGGAAGCGCCTGTCAGAGGGTGATGGGGGGGGTCTGGCACGGGGGCCCTCCTACCTGCGGCGGGGGGGTCGTGGCCGGCTGCGGGGCAGGGAGCTGCTGCTGCTGGTACTCCTCCTGCTGCAGCTGCTGCGCCAGCTCCAGGTCGCTCAGCGCAGGCCCACCCTGCTGCTGCTGGAGGGACAAGGCGATCAGGTAGTCCTGGGGGGGCGGAGGACAGACAGGGTGGGAGCAGGGCCAGTGCCGGCGGCCGGGAGGGCCGAGGCCTGAATGCGAGGGGTGTCGGGCGTCTGCCGGCCCCGGCCTGCACCGCTCTCCGGGCCGTTGGCCGCGACATTCCCAGCACGCACAGCACTGTCTCGGCAGCTTCCTCCAGGCACGGGGCTGCCACGGATGCGGCGTGGCCGCCCTCTGGCCTTTCTCTGGGGCCGTCCCAGAAGGCGGCCCCGGGCCCGGGTCCTGCCCACATGCCCACCTGGAGCCACGCTTCCCCTCCCCACGCGTGCCGGGGCTTGGCCTGCACGCCAGGCCTGCGGTTACCTGGTCCACCTGCCTCTGGCTGAGCTGCTGCTCCAGCGGGGCTCCGCCGGCCGCCTCCTTGCCCAGGACGTGGCTGAGGTGGAACTCGGCGTCACAGAAGCAGCTGTCCCCATCCACGTTGTGTAGGCTCTCCCAGGCGACCTGCTCCTCTTGCAAGAAGCCCTGGTCCGTGACCAGCAGGTACAGGTGGCCCTGGGGGAAGAGGCAGAGGGCAGCGCCTTCACACGGTGGTGGTGGAGGCCCACTTTGCTCCGTGCCACAGAGCAGGGCGAGGTGGGCTGGAAGTGTGGCTGAGTGGTTGGAGCAACAGACTCTAGAAAGCAGGGCTGCGGCCCCAAAGGGTGGTCACGTGGCTTCGGGCCACTTGCTTGCTCGGGGCCTAACCTACCTTGCAGAATGGCTGCAAGGGCGAAATGGAGAGGAGGAGGGCCTTGATTCCGCACCAGCGGGAAAAGGGGAGAGAGAGAAAATAATGCTCCAAAGACTCCAGGTTGGGCCAAAGGGAAAAGACCAGAAAGAGCAGGGGGTTCGTTAGCGCTCCGGCTGCCGGGAACGAGGCCATGAGACAGCCGCTTCTGCCTCCTGGAACGGGGGAGGAGGCACCCAAGGACAGGACGCCGCGAGGAACGGCTGCCCGAGGGAAAGCGGCACGGCCCCCGGGGGGATCGGCTTGGATTGGCCCTCCGCCCCCCGACCGAGGTCCCACAGCCGTGCCTCGCACCCTGGACGCAGCCAGGGCGGCGGGGCTTGCGTTTCCGCTGCCTGCAGGGGAAACGTTTTAGCAAGGCCTACTTGGTGCTTGATCATGGTGCTGAAATGGTTGTTCCGGAAGAAGACGCTCAGCTCCCCCTCCTTGACCGTGGACGTCAGCTCACACAGGCCGTGGTAGGTGAGCTGGGATGCCGTGGACTCCAGGAACTGCTCCGCGATCAGGCCTGAGGTTTGGGGGTGGTGGGGAGAGCAGTGGGGAGGAGAAATGGAGAATTCACCGCAGGGGACTGGAGTTAGAAACAGGACGCATGGCCACCGAGAGTCAAGTATACATAAACCCACAGAAAAGATAGTGGCACCCGCTGCTTTTCTTTTTGCGCCCCGGGGGGGGGGCATGTTTATCATGGCAAACATTTAATGCATGGGCAGTCTCCACCCCCACAGCAGCCGTTTTGTGAGAGAACCCATGACTGTCTTTTGGCATTCAAAATGTGACCCCTGGCCCCCCAAATGTGGGGGGTCCCTGGGCGAATCAGAGACTGGAGTAAGCTAGGAAGAGAAGCAGCCACTGGTAGGGTCTCTCTTCCCGGGTGACCTCTCTTTTGCTGCAGAGGGAAGAGGGTGGGTTAAGGGAAGCAGAAACAGAAGCAAGGAAGCTGACCCGGAAAGGTCCAAAACGGATCCATGAAGAGGGGGCGTGGGGTGGGCCAAAAGCCCCGGCACGACGCCTTGTGAGAGCATATTCGTTTGCTTAGATTTATTTATTTATTTATTTATTATTTATTTGGGAAACTTGTATGCTGCCCCATTCGCATAAGCCTCGGGGTGGCTTCCAATAAATAAACAACAATACAAAAATATGAAAATTGGATACATCCAGGCAATAAATAAGACCAATAAATGAATTAACAATGAATTAAAATAACGTCTAAATAAAAAGGTCTTGGCCTGGCGCCGAAAAACAAATAACAACAAACAAATAAAAAACAAATAAATTAGGACCCTAGAGCCAGATGTGCAGAAGGGCCTTCCTCAAAAAAGAAGGACAAGGTCGCAAAACATCTTATCCTGAACGGCCGTGGATGCGATTTCAACCATAAAAATGCAAGAGCGTCAAAGGACACAGTTTAAAACGAGAGCAACAGCCACTGCAAGCTGGAGTGGGTTAACCCGGGGGCTACCGCCGAGAAGGCTCTGCCAATCGGTAGCCCCTGCCACCTGGATCTCAGGAAAGGGCAAGGACAAGAGCGGGGTCTCCAGGGCTACGTGACCCCCCCCCCCCCGCTGTGCCCGGACCCTGCATCCTGATTGCGTTTGCAAACCAGGAAGAGAAGCATCACCTTCGGTCACCAAATTCGGGTCGGTGGAGTGTTTGCAGGTGATAATTTTCTCCACCAGCTGGTTGTAACTCATCTTGCCGACAGCCTGGGCCACGTCTGGTGTCTGCGGTAGACAGAAAACAGATGCTGAAACTGCGGGTCAGGAAGCACTGGCAATAAAGGACACAGTCCAGAGAGATGGGGGTCCAGATCAGACCTTGGAGGGGGACACAGGGCCCCTTCCATCTGATCGAACCCCAGCTTGGCAACTGAGGAATAACATCCATGTCCTCTTGAGTAGCCATGTTTCTGGCTTTCTGGGACAACAGTCCACATGAGGACTAGAAGCTTGGTCCTTTCTAGAAAACATTAAACACTACCAAGCTCATTCTCCACCAGCTCAACAATGCAAGGGCCTGGGGAAAAGCTCACCTGCGGATCCACCAGCCAGCCGTGATAGAGGGGCACACTCAGGAGGTCAAACACGATGCATTCGGGTGTGTACTCGAAGTCGGAAACCCCCGTGAACCGCACGTTCACATCCAGGCCCGTGGAGAGTTTGGGCAGAACCGTCATGGCGTCGTTGACATTCTGCTTGCGGAGAGAAGAAGGGCTTGCTGAGGAGCTTCGTGAAGGCGGGACAGTCCCGGTGCCCCCCGGAGCCTCCCGCTCCAACCTGGGGCCCCCGGGACATCTTGGACAGCAGCTCCCAACCTTCCTCAGCTGGGACGGCCATGGGCACCCGCTATCAAATAATACCAAGTGTGGCCCTTCCTGGATCAGACCAAGTGTCTGCATTCCCCAGAATCCTGCTTCCAACAGAGGACAGCCAGATGTCCGCGCAGGATGAAGTCAATATCTGAGAGAGAGAGAGGCGAGATCACCTGCTGGAAGTTGAGCTGCAACGCCTCCGACTGCTGCTGCGGCTTGATGGATAAGATGCAGTCGCCTTCGTGAGAGCGAGAAAGAGAGACTCTTTGTTAAGATCTAATATCTAATTAACAGGCAGCCTATATGGACCACTGAAGGATCACGACCTATGTTTTACCCCACTTTCCAGACACTTCTTGTTCCACAGAGCAGTTTGCATCAGTCCCAAGAGCAAGAAGCCATCAGGCTTAGAGGCTAAAAGGACGGGCTGTGCGCAGGGGTCGGGGGAAGAAAGCGCCAGGCCAGGACAAGAGGGAGAGCGAGCTGCAGGCGGGCACCCAAATGCCCTTCAGGCCGGGCTGAGCTCCTCTTGCTGGGCCTTGGCTTGAGCGGCGACCAGGCCTGGGGGTGGTCTGGCATTCCTTCTGCAGTTGCAGGACCGCACCGAGTTGGAGCCGAACAGCCTTTCGGGCAGGGAGGGGGCAGCGCCCTTCCTGCAAAACCTTCCCCTCTCCGGCCGGCGGACGGCTAGACTGGGCTCCCCTCGGCCCACTCTCTTGGCAGAAGTCTGTGCGCATCCGGTACCCTCGTCCGGCACGAAGATGGCCGTTTTATTTATTGATTTCTTTAAAACATTTTCACCCTGTCCTTCCAGATAAAACCGTCTCAGGATGGCTTACGATAATCAAAATAGTAATATAATAGTACAAGGATTAAAACAATAAATAAAGCAAAACATAAGCAACGATCAATGCTGCAAAATTAAAGAACAAAGAAAATGCGACTGTACTCTTAAATCTTAAAACATCTAAAATCCTTAATTCTTAAAATGATGGTTAAATAAAAAGGTCTTTCCCTGGCGCCGAAAAGAGTATAAAGTCAGCGCCAGGCGAACCTCTCTGGGGAGCGCATTCCACAATCTGGGCGCCACCGCAGAGAAGGCCCTGCTCCGGGGAGACACCCTCCATACCCCCTTAAGGGAGGAGGGTTCCTGGAGCAAAGCCTCTCCTGCCGATCTTAAGGGGTGTGAGGGAAGGAGACGTTCCTTCAGGAATCCTGGCCCACATCCCCAGGGACTACGCCAGCCCTCCAGGCGTGGGAAAGCAATGGAGGTGCTGCCCCACTTACCCAGGTGGGCCATCAGCTCATCGGACGTGATCACTTCTTTCTGGGGAGGCAGCTTGACCTGGGGGCCGAGAGAGAGGACACGTGCGGAGGATGGAGGGTGGCTTGTGAAGACACCCCCCCGACGCGGAAGCGGAGAGAGGCGGCAGGGGCCGCCGGGCCATCTAGTCTGACCCCGGCTCCAGCCGGCTCTGCTCGCGCGTGCCCTCCGGCCAGCGGCTGTCCCAGGGCCCGCGCCCGCAGCCCGCAGCCGCCCCGGGACACACCTTCCACTGCAAGAAGAGGGTGTTCATGATGGCCAGGAGCGGGCAGGGCCCGTTCTCGCTCTGGGTGATGATGGGCGTCCGCTCGCCCTTCCAGCGGATCCACTTCACGCAGTAGAAGTCGGGCGGCGTGGGAGGGCTGGCTGGGGCTGGCCGTGCCCGGGGGGCCCCCTCGGCCCCTGGATCCGGCACGCCAGCCGGGGGGGAGGCAGGGGGGCTTGGCGGCAGGGAGGAGCCCCCCCCCAGGACCGCCTCCCCAGGCGACTGCTCGCTGTCTCCGGAGGCTGCTTCTTGGGGCTCGGCGGGCTCTCCAGGCGCCTCTCCCTCGGGCGCGTCCTCCCTGCCATTTGCACAGGGGGGGCCCTCGTCGCCGGGCGCCTCCGGCACCCCCGGCTGCTGCCCATTCGCGGCAAGAACACCCCCCGCTGCCGTCTCCTTCCGGACTCCGGGCTCCGCTGCCGCTGGGGCCAGGGGGCTCACGGGAACTTCAAGCTTGGCCGGCTCTTCCTCCCTCTGCCCTTGGACCCCCCTTGGTGCTTCGGGCTCCATTCAGGGCAGCCCCCCTCCTGTGGTGTCTTATGGCTCCCCGATCATCCGCCTCTGGGCCGACTCTTTGTGCTGGCGAGAGAGCCCAGATCCTTTTCCGTTCGCTTTCTGCTGAACTTTGAGTTTGGAGCTTGTTTCCAATTCTGCCTCTCCAGGGGAAAACAGATGCCAGCGTTCCTGGGGGAAGGCAAGAGCTCTCCCCTCCGATCGTTCCAGAAGGCTCCCGAGGCACCAACAATATGTAGTGGTCGTTAGATACAATTTCCCCCCTTCTGGACTTTAAAAAGCAAAATTTGATTTCAGCTTAACTGAGCCTCAGTTTGTCCCAGAGATTCCTTTTAGTGTCTGTTTTCCTATTTTACAAGCTACCATAAGTGCATCGTAAGACACCTTGTTAAAAAATTAATTTGCTGGTTGAGGGGTGTTTAGTTGTTGTTAGGCACTGCTGAAGAAAAAAAAAAAAAGTTTCTTCTCCTAAGATGTCCTGTCCTACGGTGATCCTTGTGTCACTTATCAGCTAATTCGACCCCGTCCTCTTCTAGCTGGAGTTTAAATTCAATTATTTAAATCCAGGAATTCCAATCTCTAACTGCTTCCCTGTGTGTGTGTGTGTGTGTGTGTGCGCGCGCAAACACACTAGATAAGGATGTTTCAAGTTCACCTATTTTAAAAAATAAAAAGTGTTTTGTCCTTTGTATAGAAAAAATATTATAAAACAAAATTATTTGTCTTCTTTTCTAAAAAAAAAAGCCCACTCCTACCTATGAAATAAAGGGAAATGTATTTTCATAAAATGATAAAAATATGTTAAAATGCACAGGTTTTGCTCTGCAGAGGCGCTTTTCCTTTAAAAACCAAACCGCACACACAGGCCCACGCAAAACCAGCATGGGCTGTTACGACTACCCCCCACTTCGAATCAAATCTTTCAGGAGGAATCCAGCTTATTGACCTTAGGGACGCCTCTTTGTGTCCTTGAGGTTATGCAAGCAGCACTGCCTATCTGGTTTTCATCCGGAGGTGCTTGTTCTTCCTCCGCTCCCACGCATTCCAGCGATGCCTTTCCCACACCCGCTGAAGCCGGTTCGATGGGGTATGGCCAGCCTGTCCGGCAGATAAGTGGCTCAGGGCTCTTCACTCGGCCAGGCAGGCGACGACGGGCTCCTGAGAACAGAAGTGGAGAAAGGTGGCGATGCTGCAAAGGTGGACAGGCCACACCTGCCTCCAGACACACCTTCTTTTCTTCCTGCTGAAGAAAAGTCTTTCCACCGATTTCCCTGAGGATTTCTGTGTTATTTTTGCCAAGCGCCTTATCCTCCTGCTCCAGGATGGGGCAAAAGATCGTTTCCCGGGGACTGGGGTTGGTACCCGCAGCATCAGGAGAATGGAGACGGAGGCTCCAGACTGACAGCTGGATCTAGCAAAAGCTTAACTCTGCCCTTCTCCCACAGCCAAAACCTCTGACAGTCTGGGAGTCCTGCATAAATCTTTCCACCTGTCTGGGCCAAGCCACATTGGAAACACAGAAACAGAGTGAGTCAGAAGGGGCCTCCCAGGCCATCTAGTCTGACCCCCGGCTCCAGCCAGTTCCATGGGAGGTGGTTGAGGCCCCATCGGTGAGGCCGTTCAAGGATAGGCTGGACGTCCACATGGTGGGCATGTCGTGAGCGGAGCCGGCTGGTGCCAGAGGTCAGACTAGACGGCCCGGGAGGCCCCTTCTGACTCGCTCTGTTTCTATGTTTCTATGTATACGTGTATACATATATATGGCGTATCTATGCATTCTCGGCACTCATCCTCGCCTCCTCTGCTGCCTTTGAATGCTGGCCACAAAACCCATGCGAGGCTCTGGGTTTAATGGCTTATTAGACCGTGTGCAACTCTGCTTCCCACCGAGGGATTTTGAGTGTTCTGCAATCAAAGGAAACACAAAATGCAAAAAGGTCCAGAAAGAGCAAAGGGATCCGTGAAACAGTGGCTGGAACGGCGCCATCGGCCAGGGAGTGCTTGCAAAGGCCTCCGCACACAATGCAGGGCGCTCCTGATCGCGGCAGGCAGGGGCCGACACACAAAAGGCCCTGCCCATGGCGGACTTCCGACCCATCTGGAACCGCCGTCTCGGAGGGCACCTCCACAGGGATCCTCTGCCTGCCAGTCCCGTGACTGTGCTGCCCAGGGACAGGGCGAGGGGAGGGAAGGCAGACGTGGTCACGGAGAGGAGGCCAGCTCCGGAGGAAGCGACTGAACCAGTCGGCCACACCTGCTGACAAACCCCTGTGGGTGCTGGTGGTTTTTCAAGGAGGAAGCTGCCAAACAGGTCCCTCCAAAATTAGCTAAATTTAAGTCCAACAATATTTATTTAAGTCCAGGAGAGGTCCAGATCTCTGAGGGAGGCAGGTGGTGGAGGGAGATGCTGGTCCATCCCGGGTCTGTGTCCTTGCTGCTGTCTGTGGGCAGCCCGTGGGACCCCTTCCCGTGCCCACGTGCCAGGGCCAAATGCCAGTGTGGCGGCCTCCCCGCCACGGATGGTTTGGACTTCAACTCCCATCATACCCAGGTGTGATGGGGATTTATAGCCTGACCCAACTAGGGAGTGCCTGTGCAGGGAAGGGGGGGCACTGGCCATGCTGGGAGTCATGGGAGTTGTAGTCTGGCACAATCATAGGGCACACAGACAGGGGAGGGGGGGCATGGTCATGTGGGTTGAAAACGATGGGAGTTAAGAGCCGGTCTAGAGGCATCAGGTTTGGCTAGGTGAGAATCTGTTAAGAGCAGTGAGACTTGGGTTCAAAGCTTTGCTCACTGGGTGAAGCTGGGCCAGTTCCTCAGCCTACCTCTCAAGGCTGTTGTGTGGACAACACACATACAATCAGGAGCTTCTCAGAGGAAAGTTGAGGTATCTGGGACCAAGCCAGGCTACCCCAAAACTTAGTTCCAGCAGAGTTTCTCACCTAGATGTGCCCCGTCAGCCAGAACTTGAACCTGGAGCCAAAATGTCCCCATGTACCTTGAACATGAACACAGAGGCTGCATTTTGCCTCCGTGATTGAGAGCATTCGATCAGGCTGGTTTTCCTGTCTCAGCACTCCCCAACTCCCATCAAAACCACCATGCCTGGGCTGATGGGAGTTGTAGTGCAACCCCAAATGGGGAGAAACTGTCCTACATTTGCACGCCACGGTGCCTCCAACCTGTGCCGGCTGATGAAAAGCACAACTCCGGATCAAGCAGGATTCTGCCCGTGATCTTTAGACCAGCCAGGGAAGGGATGTCAAGCCAGGCCTAAGACCAGGGCCGTCCTAACGCGTGGGCCTGATGGGCACTTGCCCGTGGGCCCCACACTAATCTGTGTATGCTAACCCTTGGAAAATTGGAAAACTCCCAAACTCAACAGCAGCTGTCGTTGTCCCAGGGGCCCCAGGACACTGCTTTGCCCAGGGCCCACCCTGCCGTTCAGACGGCCCTGCCTAAGGTGAGAAAAGGTGACGGGGGTCTGGGCGGAGGAGCCCCGGAGGCAGCAGGTGAGGACGGGGGAGCGCGGGGAGAAGAGCGCTCCCAGGGCAGCTTGCAAGCAACCAGGCGGGCTGAGAACTGGCTCGGTTTGCCCGGCGCCTCTCCGGGACGCGGAGGCGAGCACGACCCAGGCGGATGCAGCTGGCGCAGCCCGAGCGCCACAACTTCGCAGGCTGCGGGCGGGTGCCCGCTGCACGCCTACCTTTCCCGGGTCCACTTTCATCTCGGCTCCTGCAGCGATCCTGTCTCTCTCGCTCCTTCCCAAAGTCTTGTCCACACTTGCTTGCCTGGAAGTTTCCTGCGCTTTCTTCTCTTTCTTCCTCCCTCCCTTCCTTCCTTTCCGCCCTCCTTTTCCCCTGCAAGCAAAGTGACAGACGGGAAGATCCGAGGCTGGCAGGAAAAAAAGGAAACACAGGTCCAGTGACTTGTTTTCTGCCTTCGCCTTGCCTTCCCACAGGGACATCTATAGGGACGGAGGATTTATGACACCGTAAGGGGTGTGAGTCCAGAACGCAGAGCGCAGGTGGTGAGCCCGTTTCTCTGTGTAAACATACCTAGGATGGTACCTAGAATTTCTTCCTTTTGGATGGCACACGCAACTAAGAACTGCCCAGGCGGGGCAAAGCGTGGCTGCTGTTCCCTTCAGTGCACTCCCCTGCAAATGCAAGGGGAAGCATTACCTGTGGATCTTCTGCCTGACACGGCGCTGGGAAGGAGAAGCAGGAGCTGGTGCTTGTGGAGTTGCTACTGGCTTTGCTTCTTCGTGCTAACTTGCCAGAGGCTGCTGTTTGTGGCGGTTGAGAACGTGCCTGTTCTAGGACCTGGACGGATCCAAGGTCTTAAAGGGGCAACGTCGTGCTGGAGGCGTGTTTGTGGGCACACGAGCGGTGCAGCCTGCAGATTCCCTGGAAAAAGCCTTGCTGTTTCTGAAACCCTTCCCGAGAGTCATCCTCAGCAGTCCCAATGCGCTTAGTGACTTTAGGATTGCAGTCTTCCGGTGCGCTTTTATATGTGCCTAGTCAAGGGAAAGGTCCCCGCAAGTCCACTCAGCAATCACAGGACTGTAGCTTTTGCCTCAGGGCTTTGGAGATTCTCGTGTCTAGTCCTCATGGATCTCCCCAGTATTGTGCCACGCGGGCAGAGCCAACCGGGTTCCCAGATCTCCTTCGGAGGGAGGGGACCGGAGCATGACCCAGCCTCGCTGCCAGGGGCCCTGCCCAGGCCTCCCAGCCCACCTGCGAGGGAGGCTAGCGTGGCGGCGCCGTGGACGCCCGCGCGCCGCTCTCGGGGGCACCGGGAGCGGGCGTCCCACGGAGGGCAGCGCGTGTGAATCCGCGCGGCGGGCACGCGGCGGAGTTGGGCGCTGCGGCGCGGGGGGACTCGAACCCGCCGCTCCCGGCTCGGGGGCTGCGCCATCACCGCGCGCCGCTCGAGTCGCTGTCGCCGCCAAGCCGGAGCGGCGCGCGGGCGGGAGCGCGCCTCGCCCGCGTCCCCCCCCCCGCCGC